AAAAAAAAAAAAAAAAAAAAAAAAAAAAAGTAGCACTTTTGACCAAAAAAAAAAGCTTGGCCAAACAGGCTATAAGACCAGTTGTTAGAAAAGCATGTGGTTTCAGATAGTGCCACTGTGAATTACAATGCTCTTACAGAAGCCTTCGGGGTCATTTGGTAGGGTATACAAGAATAGCACTGAATAGGGTGTATTAAACCATTATATTGTTACACCATATATCCCGTTTTTAATGCTATGAACCAAAAATCTCCTAGAGAAAAGCATACACACTAAATGATCAAGTGATCATTAGTCCCTATATTATTCACCCATTGAATGGTTAAGGTTACTGAGGAGTTCGATAACCCCTTTCATGCTTTGGAATGTCTCTCCAACCTCGGGAAGAATAACCACAGGCATTGCTTGCGCAGGCATAGGTGGAGGATTGTCTTTGAACATTGACATCTCTACCACGATGATAATCCAGCTGAGGCATGTGGTTGGCCTTTTGATTGCAAACAAAAATGCATGGTCGTCCAACTTTTAGTTTATTGCTTCAAAGTCATAAAACTAATCTTCCTAATGGAAAAACAACTCAAATACGCCTCTATATCATAGAAAATAAAAAAAACGCCAAAAATGCTAAATCTGGTCCCTGGAAATACAACTAGGCTATCACATGTAGGAATTGTTGAGCTATTTTTCCGTTACAAAAAAATGGGTTTATATCTCTAAAAAAAAAATACCCAAAAAATCTATGGCCAGGGTTGTCGGGTTGTGTGTGTNTTAGGCCACAGGTTTAAGCCCTGGACCATGCAAACGAAACATGATATGTTTAAGCGGAGAAGAGTAGAGGCGCAGACCCATTATCCCCGAGTGTCGAAGGCTGCAGTTGGTTCTAAGAGTTGGCCCAGACGGATTTCTCAGTCATCCAAAAACAAAACAAAAATTGAAAGTTGGATGATATCTATGAAATTAACCTTTCGTTGGTTATCTAATAAACTATGTAATGGAATGGTATTACATTGGTCCTGATAGAAGCCTTCTGATGTCAGGTAACACCTTTTGATGTCAGGTAACAGGTAAAGCCTAAAGGTTATTCCTGTCCCTGTCCGGAAATGTTAATCATCTCTCTTTTTACAAATATAAAAGTCTTCGGTGTATTTTGTTAGACTTCCAGGGTTTTCTTTTATGTAGATACATTGTTTCCTCCTCTCTTCTTTTTTTCGTGTATGCATCCCATCTTCTCATCAACGATTACAGAAAATCAAATTCAACAGCTTCCTTATAAAAGTACGTGCTCCTAAACTCTAAATACACCCTCTCATATTATTAATAGTTGACTGGTCAATCTCCACATCTCAAAGCAAACTTCCTAACCACAATCAAGGAAGAACTGCTTCCTTAGGAGCAATAATTAGTCTCGCCATTACAAAGTATCATGTTTTACTTCTCGCAATATTTCTTCAACAGGAAGACTTACTTTATCGTATAAAAGATTTATCTGATACTTTTTCTCCATTATCTCAGGAAAATATAATGTCAAATTCTCTCTTCACCTACTAGCCATTCTGCTGCCCAAAATTTATTAGTATCATATGGCGTGCGGTTACTAGACTACTGCTCCATTAACTTCAATTCCAAATTTATGACTCCTGAGGCACTCCTGTCCACAGGCTAAATCGTATCTTTTCAGCATAACAAGAAGCTAGCAAATGCTAAAACGCTGCTTCAGGTACTTTAATGCCCCACCAATCTTGTGACCTATGAAAAAACTAAAAATAAATCGAAAGCTAAACAGTCGAGGAAAAATGTGAACGGAAATTGGCGGATTGGAAAAAGAAAATATTTTCTTTAGGAAACAGAATGGTGTTTATAAATTTTGTGCTGGATGCACTGCCAACTTAACCCTTGTCCATGTTCCAATGTTCAAATAGGTAGAGAAAAGAATTGACAAACTGAGGGGAATATCTATAGCAGGTCACAACACGCATAAAATTGGTCAACTTGAATACTGCCAGGGCAGCCAGAAAAGAAGGGCTGGGAATAAAAAAATAACAGGGATCAACACAAAGGCAGGACATCCAACTCAGGAGACACTTCAATGATTGGGAACTAGAGAGCATATGCGAAGTTGCCAACTACTCCAGCACATCAGCAACACTCAAATATCACAAGGCATTCCAGACTATTTGATATGGAAAGGAAGCAGAAGTAGCCATTCCACAATTCAGCATACAGGTTTCTGTCCAGCAAACAAATGCTGGCTGACCATGGAAGCTTATTTGGAAAAATAAAGCACCTTACAGGGGAATGTTTCCCATGGCCAGTGGCGGATCCAGGATTTTAAAGTTATGGGTGCTCGCTCAATATTTATCTAAATATTTGTAAGGTTACCTATATAAATTTATTAATATAGTCAAAGTTAATGGGTGCTTAAGCACCCACAACTCCCTACGTGCATCCGCCACTGCCCATGGCGGGTAGCGCACGAAGCATGTCCAACGGAAAACTTATAAAGGAGAGGAATTGTTATATGCAACTGATATGTGCTTTCTGAGGAAGGATATGAGGATACAAATTATTTATTCATCCACTGCAGACTGACAAGCAATTATGGGACATGATGCTGAACCCACTGGATCTTCATGTGTGTGCCAAGCAAAAGAGCTGTTACAGTGTTGGTTCAGGAGAGCATAAGAAAGCAGAATAGGAGATATGGAACACTGAATACAATCCCTGCGACCATTTGGTGGGTGGTTTGGAAAGAGCGGAACCAGAGAATTTGAGAAGGAAGAAGCAATGCATCCTTGCACTAAATTTAGATGTATATTTTTGCTATCATCTTTGAATTGGGAGACAGATGTACATGATACAGGTTTAATGATAGAATCTCGCAGTTCATTACGTGCAGTAAAAGAACCGAGCTTTTGTTACTTCCCCTGATTCAATTTAGACGACACACTTTCCTTATTAGTCCGTTCCAAAAAAGAATGACACATTTCTACCATTAGAAATAATTTAACTTTAAACTCTTTATTTTACCCTTAACGAGAAGCTTGTATAACTACACAAATGTCATGGCCCCACAAAGCTTTTACCCTTTAAGCTTTTATGACCACAAATTTCAAAAGCCTTTCTTTTTTTTCTTAAACTCCGTGCCGAGTCAAACTACCTCATCTAAAATTGAAATGGAGGGAGTATTTGGTAATGCACAGGCCCCGCAATCACTTGATGCTGGAAAAATATATTTTACCTTCTTTCATTTATTAAAAGAAAAACAAAGGCACAAAAGTTTTGGATCAGCAACTCTAATGCTTGCAATTAGCAAAGGAGGAAAATTTGCAGCTGCTAATCTGACTTCAATGTTTGTATCGAAGTACTCATTCAATCAACACTTTCTCACCCACAGAATAAGAGTCAGCTTATCAATTAGTTTCTCTTTACTGCTTGTCTCTGGATAGTTCGTTCACCCATATTAGGCCATCAATAAGAAGTAAATCAAAACTCGAGTTAGTTTGCCTACCGTTAATACAACAATGGCAGTGGTAGCAGTGAATATTGTCTGACCATGTCCTTCAGGAAGATCATGGACTGACTGCAAAGCAAGGGCAAAAGCCATAGCGCCTCGAAGGCCTATATGTCCACATCAATAATGAGTCAAATTAGAATTGAAAATCCAAAACGTAGGTTGAAAAAATAATTTCTTCACCACTTACCACTGTACCAGAGTGCTTTTTGATGGTTTGCTGGTATCTTCCGGTGTGGAGGTCGAACAAGATTCACCAAATATGCACAACCAAACACATTGGCAGCCCTTGATGAAAGAGAGGAAAAAGATTAGCAAATTTTGTATGGACAACCTTGTGATCATTCTATCCAATCTAATGCAAATTAGGGGGAAAATATAGAGCAATATAGAGCATTGGGACAATGAGCCAGGGATAAAACCATGTAGACAAGGGTAATCAACAACAACAACGACCCAGTATAATCCCACAAGTGGGGTCTGGGGAGGGTAATATGTACGCAGACCTTACCCCTATCCCGAAGGGTAGAGAGGCTGTTTCCAGGAGACCCTCGGCTCAAAAAGCAATTAGAGATGATATATTAGTACCATAAAAATGGGTATTAAAAATAACAACAATATATAAGAGATATGAAATATGAAATACAAAATACGAAATACGAAATACGAAATAGATGGCTGGTATAATACAACTAGAAGGACAAGGGTAATCCCAGATAAGAAAACAGAGTAACAAACATACCTTGCAATCACAATGAACAGCTGGGGGGAACAAGAAGTTAAGGGAAAAAAGGTTGATTCACAATAACATTAAGGAACGAGTTTCTATATAAAAAAGACTACATGTCAAGGATACAATTGAGAAAAAAATAAATCCAACATGGGACCAGCTATGTTTTTCCATTGCGATATCAAATCCCATATATATAAATCTGCACGTTAAACCAAAAAATCAAGCATTTACTGAAGATATTTAACAAAATGGGAAGTACAGAATATCACAAATCCTCAAGAACTTGAACGCCCAACTTACACAAAGGTTTCAGCCAATGATGATATCAGATGAAAGAATGCTGACACAAATCGCTGTGAACTTTCCGATAGATTTGAGTACGTATAGCGCTTCATAACCTACAAAACCAAATCCAGAAGTACTAAGCATATCTTAGAAATTAGAAAATGAAAAAAAAAAATGGAGAAACGATAGATGAGAACTTACGACTCCAGTGAACAATATAGACACTATGCCAGAGAGACCAAGTCCTTCTGCTAGCATATATCTGAAAGATGATGGTTAACAATAAATTACATGTCAGGTACAAGAACAAGATAGAATGTGGAAAATTGAGGGAATCTGATGTAGTAGCTTACGAGAAATATGGAAAGAGGACAAACAAACAGCTCTCCAAGTTCTGAAGACTGCCAATGGAATTCGTGGAAATACCATCAGTATAATCACAGTCAGAAATAGATCAAGCTGCGAAAAGCTATAAAATACTTGACTTACTTGTCAATATCCAAGCCAGCATATTTGAAAAGGTGTGTGGAGTCAAGGAAGCGCAACACTTTTATGAGCTAGAAAGCATCAAATACACATTTCATAATATGAAGAGTAAAAGAAGTGGACAACAAACAGAAGAGAATGAAAAGACCAAAAAGGTAAAGGCTGAGAGAATGAGAAGATGAATAACTTTCACTGCTGTTTGGTTATGCAGGATATAAAGGAAAATAAATATAACAAAATACAGTAGAACCTTTAAGCTTATTAAATAACAATCATGGTGCATTGAAACAATTAGCGATTATAGAGGCACCGTAATCTTTAGAAGATCTAGAGAGTTTGGTTATAAATCATTAAGAAGGCAACCCCTTCCTGGTTCATTTTTTCTGTGCATGAGCTGCACTATCGGAAGAAAGTAGAACATGAAGGATATCAAAGCAGAAACAAATCCAACTCCAACACCTGTAGAATCATAGCAGCAAGCAGTTAGTTGACTCCAAAAGAGCTAGAAGTCAAACTATTAAGAAATAATCACTGATCTTAGAACAAATGCATACAAATACTGACTCCAGAAGTTTCATTTGACTTTCTTTTTTTGGATAAATTTCTGGGCTCCAGCAGTTACAACGGAATCTATTCAGACTGCTTAAAAAGAGAGCATCCTCTTGGTCTCAGGCATTTCCAGAAAATGACATAATTTGAATAGTTTAAATAGTTTTGTTTTCCTAAAAACAACACCTGCTTGACCTTCTCTTCTTATGCCAACATTAGCTTTCACTGAGAGAAGAAGATGAGAGGAAAAAAGTAAACAGTAGAAGATACTAACCAGCTGACAAGGAGCCCATAAAAGTTTCAAAAAACCGGACAGTTATCATGAAGTAATTTTGACCAGTTGACATGTTGCTTCTGACCAATGACATTGTCCTACAAAACAATCCAGTGCCTGATTTTCAATCCTTCTGGATCTATTTATATGTGCAGATGCTCCTTGAAAATCAAATCCACAGCTGTTAAGCATACGTGTACTAACCTGTACAACGAAATTGCCATCTTCCAAGAGTGCACCATACAAAGAAAAACAAAGAAATAAATACACAAAATACAAATACATAACCTTGTTTTTTTGGGATAAATAGCAAATACAAATATTTAAAGTGCCAATGGGAAAACAAGTAATCGCCATAGTGAAATGTCAATTTTTCATATAAGAATGCGTAGGACTTACTGCATCATTTAAAACAGATTCCCCAAACACTAACGCATATAGGTTCACGTCTGTGCCAAGCTCCTACAATAATGTTAAAGAAAAACTCATTCAACAAAAGCACAGTACGCTTGGCCAATGATGAAACAGTAGACCTAGCTATATCAATTTGAAAGTTTTGAAAAGCCAGCATCACATAAGTTGGCAAAGAGAGATATCAGAAAGATAATCAATTGGTAAAGAGAGAAATAGTTGTATAAAAATGATAACAAATCCGGCAAAAAGAGATAACAGTTGCTAACAATATATAATACTAAAAGGTTTATTTATCAAAAATAAATAAATATAAGCTAGTCAACAGATCAGATACCAAAATTGATTATTTCAAAAAAAAGCAAAGCAAAGGAATGTGCCACATCAGTGCTATATTTTACTTATTCTAAAACTTATCCATCTTCAGTGTTTAAGATTTTCTCTACCTTTGTCATTCATAAAATAACAGTAGAACTTGTCTTAATGTTCTTCTAACTGTTGCATCTAAAGTTAAAGTAATGCAGAGCTTTCAGAGTTATCTTAAAATCAGACATAGCAGCAGATGCTTGAGCACGATACTGATCAGGCGGCACTAGTGATCCTCACACTTCTTCGTGGAGGACTTAGTAGTCTATCTTATTTTGTTTACACTTTTAAGTTGCACCCATTTTCAGTTATATGCTTCAGGTAGATGCTCCACCAACTGGTCCAACTCCACGTCCATTGTCGGTGGACAAGTTGACTAGTATGTTATGGTTTGTCTCTAGAGGACCAATTTATTATGTGATTAGGCCATTGAGACAAGTTTGAGACTCGGCACAGTTTTTCTCAGAATTGTTGCATGTTATCTGATGGTACGGGACCACCCAGAGTCCCATTGTTTGTTTGACTTAGGTCAGTCAAGGTTCACTTGGTGGTTAGATTGCTCGCAAAGTGCGGGTAACAACCTTCCAGTTTTGGGCCGTGACAATTAGAACATTGATCTAACATATCTCTTACTCCTTACTCAGTCGGCCTTCTGCTGGCGTTCATATACACAGAACTCAAGGGCTAACATGATCAATGACATTACATTGTAAATAGTATAGATGTCACCAGAAAAGAGCTTTTTTTAGATAATGAGAAGGAATTCCTTTTATGGATTTTATTGTGTAGACATATGTTGTAAATTGTACAAAACCAAACAAACAAAAAATTAAATAAAAAAAAATAGAAGACAGTCAAAAGTGCCTAGTCTAATACAGGAAGCAAAGCAGTTGATTAGAACTGTGCAGAATGCCAATAAAGAAAGACTAACCTGGAAAATAGACAGAACAGTGACAGGATCACTTGCCGATATAAGAGCACCAAACATCAGACACTCGACAAATGGAAGTTTGTACATGAGATACGTGACTCCACCAAGGTAACTGCAAAATTTGCATTCACAATAAATTAATTATATGAGCGTGGAAACTGATAATACAAAGAAAATCATAGATGCAAGCAGTACTCACACCAGAATGCCTGTGACAATAGAAGCAATGAAAGTTCCTAAAATAGCAAAAGTGATAATTGCTCCAAAGTTTGAAAAGAACGGTTTCTGCTTACAGCATCAATAAAAGCCATAATGTTAAGCAATGCAAAAACAAAAGGAGGTTGCATATCGAGTAAGTAACAAGAGAAGAAAACTTACAGGTGATAGACTAAATCCTGACTGAGTAAGCAAACGAGGTCAAGGAAAAGAACTTTTGCAAATAAATTCACGAAGAAGCTGAATATTTAACTACAGCACGAAGAACGAAAATAATAGAAAATTTCTGCAGGAAAGAATCTAAATGTGGATATAATATGATCGGTGGCAATAAAAAGAGAAAGAAAAACTCTTCATGGAAGTTAAACCATGCCCTGCCAAGCAAGAAGCAAAAGGGAAAAAAAAGAGTCAAAAGTCCAGCAACAAGAATCGGTAGAAATAAATAAAATCTTCAAGAACCAAATGGTGATGAAAATTCAAAAAATTACCTAATGCTTGTTTCTGTATTTGATATATTAGCCAATCCTCCTACAATCAAACCTGCCACAAAGAAAATCCATGCAACATAAATTCAGCAAGTTCCAAGATAAAAGGGTACCTCAATCGATCAAGTCAATAGCATATGCTGAACAACCTTCAAAATACAGTACTCGAATTGCATTTTACTGACTCACTAGAACAATGAACCATTACCAACATCAACCAAACCAAAATATCACAATCCCAAACTAGATGAGTTCAGCTATGTGAATATTCTATTCACTCTGCCCCCTTTGGGTCTCATTCATTCTAATACTCAATTTATGGGTTCTCTAAAGCTAGATAACACAACATACAGAGCTCTAACCAAACTAACAAGACTCCTAGGCCTAACGTAAATGCACCAACAACAACTAAATTCCCAACTCGTCGACAAAGCCTAGATGGATACTTTGCTCCACTGACTTCTTAAACAATTGCCCACGAGGCCACGACAGCAAAGTCAAATTGGCGCAACAACATTCCCAGCAAATTCCAGCTAAAAGGAAACCTCAAATTTTTTTTTCTTCTTTTCTTTTTATGAAAGAGGTGTTCGGGCTAGCTTGCGTGTACCTCGACTATTCCGCCGGAACTTGCTACCTCCCACCAACACAGGTACCAAGTAACTGCCACCAAAAGCTTTTTTTCCCTTTGATAAGGTAAAGTATTATTAATAAAAAGTATACCAAAAGGGTACACAAGAGCAGAAAACAGAGCCTACAGAGAACACCCTAATCCAAAAATTCCAGATACTGGTCCATACTTTCTAATAAACACCTGGTACACCAGAAAACAGATTATGCAGATATAACTTTTTAAGACTAAAAATATTATTCTTTTTATTCTCAATGCAAACACTATCTCTTTCTGTCCAAATGGTCCAGAAAATGCACAGGGGAATGGTCCTACAAAGCTGCTTCTGAGACTTTGATATCTTTTGCACGTGCTTGACTTAGACTCCTAATATATGAAGGCATAGCCCAAATGACATCACAAAGATTCAGGAAGAGCTCCCAGCATGCTTACCAACTTTGCAGTGAATAAAAAGATGATTTACCGACTCCAAGCTTTCTCGATTCTTCACATAGATAACACCTGCTGCTTAAGGAAAGCCTCTTCTCTGTAGATTATCTTGAGTTAAACAGGCTTCTCTGATAGCAACCCATCCAAAACAATCCACTTTGATAGGTGCTTTGGTTCTCTATAGCATTTTCCATGGCCAATTCAGTACATAAATAATCAGATTGTTTTTGGAGAAGAGTGTAACAGCTCTTGACAGAATACTTCATGTCATTACTAGCTGTCCAAACCATGGCATCCTCTCTATCTTCTTCAACCACCACCATCTCCAGTATTTGAAATAATTGTCCAACTTCTTCCAACTCCCAATCATTAAAATCTCTTCGAAAATGTAGCTGCCACCCACTAGGAGAATAAAAATCAGAAACAGTCCCTGCTTTGTTGGTGGAGCAGTTGTATAAGGTAGGGAATTTAATGTTCAAACTTACGCCCCCCTCCACACATCAGTCCAAAATTTGATTCTGACACCATAGCCCAGATTCAGTTAAGTGTATTGTTGAAAATGATTCCATAGTCTACTGATGTTACTCCAGATATCACCCTTTGAAGAGCTTGACACGCAGGGGGACACCCTTTGAAGAGCTTTGAAATGCAGGGGGGCACCCTTTGAAGAGCTTTCGCATTTATCAAATTCTTCCAAATGCTTACTTTTCCATCATCATATTTCCACAACCATTTATATAATAGGATTTTATGTGTAGTCTCAAGTTCCTGGCCCCCATGCCTCTTCCTTATCAGTATCAAATTTTGCCATTTGACAACATGATTCTTTGTTTTTTCTGCATTTCCTTCCCTAAAAAGTTACTCCTAATAGTGTTCAATTTCTTTACTGAAACAGAGACATCAGATCCGTTGGAATCCCATCCAACGCACTACTTACGAAAGTGAGTCTGCCTCCAAGTAATAAGTACTGCTTTTTCCAAGTTGTTAACTTACTGGAACACCTATCCAGCTTTTTCGAATGAGAAAAATCACATAGTGGTTTTTTTGTGTGAAAGGTACCTCAATTTGAAAATGCTATGGTAGATTAAGAGTAAACTATGGAAAACCTTACTCATATAGGCATTTTCAAACATACATTATTATATAAACCAACAACAACAACAACAACCCAGTGTAATCCCACAAGTGGAGTCTGGGGAGGGAAATATGTACGCAGACTTTACCTCTACCCCGAGGGGCAGAGAGGCTGTTTCCAGGAGACCCTCGGCTCAAAGAGGCAACAAGAGACACTATATTAGTACTATCAATAGACTCATAATAAAACACCATAAAATACCATAAAATCCATAACATAACATAAATAGCATAAAAACAAAGTAACAGCAATATAAGGGATATAGGAAATACGAGAATATGTAGGGTATTAATACACAGAAGATAAAGCTCATCATCAGTAGTTGATCAATAGCATCCTAAGACTAATTCCTAACTAGCTAGTCTCACTCTAGTGCGCTGTAAAAAAAGACATCACAATTTTCCCTAACCTACAACTTTAATGCTCGATCTCCACAATTCCCTGTTTAGGGCCATGTCCTCAGTAACCCTAAGTCGCGTCATATCCTGCCTGATCACCTCTCCCCAATACTTCTTAGGTCTCCCTCTACCTCTCCTCGTACCTACCACCGCCAGTCGTTCACACCTTCTCACCGGTGCATCAGTGTTCCTCCTCTGAATGTGCCCGAACCATCTGAGTCTTGNCCCCGGCATGAACCCGAACTGGTTGTCTGAAATAGACACTGTCCTTCGCACTCTCATTTCTACCACTCTCTCCCAGACTTTCATGGTATGACTTAGTAATTTAATACCCCTATAGTTGTTACAGATCTGGATATCGCCTTTGTTCTTATACAACGGGACCATTGTACTCCACCTCCACTCTCCGGGCATCCTATTAGTCTTGGATATAACATTAAGCAACTTAGTAAGCCATTCCAAGCCTGCTCTACCCACACACCTCCAAAGTTCAACCGGAATTTCATCTGGTCCGGTATTATATAAAAATGGCATTATAGACTCACAAATTGAATGGCTCAACCGGAATTATATAAACCCAGAACACAAAAATGGCAAATTGAATGTGAAAACCCTACCCATATTAGCATTTTTAGACTCACATTATAAGAACGGAGAAACTGAAATTTAAACGCTAAAAATATGAAAAAATTAAACAATACACAAAAGGAAAAAGGGAGAAGTGAAAGAGTACCAATTAAAAGAGAGGCACTGGCTTCAGGAATATAATAAAAGCGATGACGACGAAGGACATGACCAAGCACAAATGAGAGTACAAGCATCATGATCTGAAGAAGTATGCCTACTCCTGCGGCTTGTTGCTCTTTCCCTGGACTTGCTTTTGCCCCGGCCGGAGAAATCTGAAGATGATCCTCCATTGGAAGTAAACACTGACTGCAATTGATGCAAAGTCAGCAAAAGAGAAGAAGAAAATCACCCACTTTGATCAACTATCGCTTAATAGAGAGTTGAATTGGTGATTTTTATGGAATCAACGACGAAACCTAGGAAATTTTCCGGTAACGCGCTGGCTTCGAGACGTTTACTCTTTTGGGTTTTGCTTGTTTGAAAAGGCTCTTTGTGAGACAGATGGAGAGTATCTAAGAGAGCTTTCAGTCAGGTCTTGAAAGTTAAGCTAACAAATCGAAAAATTCAAAAGTGCAAGGTGAACGAATAATAAAATGGGAAAGGTCAAAGGAATAGAAAATGAAAGAAAGAAAGAAAGGGAAACTTATATTAAAAAATAAATATATATTAGAGGTCTAATTTGGTTTGAGGAGAAACGAGAAAGAAAATGTGGGAGAAAATTTATTTTCCTATTGGACCTACAAATTTAAATCTATGAGATTAAAAGGCCAAATATTTTTGGCGTATTATCACTTCTAGCTCACGCCATAAACTATTTATATTAGGTAGCCAAAAAAATATATACAATTTGTATAATATTTTTATATAACAGACATATTATATAATTATATATATATATATATATATTCGACTATTATTTTGAGAGCGACTATGCAATGTCATTTTCCCAAAAAAAATTTCTTTGCATTCGTCTAAAACAGGTGGGGTGCCTTGACTAAGGACAAAGCTCAGGTGTTGGGGGAGAAGTTATTGGCTATGGAGTCTAGAGGAGTAGTGGGGACTCAAGAGAGGTGCTAGGTGTCTCAAGGGTTTCTCCAGTGGCCGCAAAGGGGACTAGTGGTGGAATGAAGAGGTTCAAGGTAAAGTGGAAACCAAGAAAGCGGCATATAAAAAGCTTGCAGAGAGCATAGACGAGGTGGAGAATAGGGCCAACTGGGAGTGGTATAAGAAGGTTAAGAAGGAGACAAAGTTAGCTGTCATTGCAGCTAAGACTACGGCGTTTGGACATTCGTATGAAGAGTTGAGGAAGAGAGCCGGGGATAAGAAGCTATACAGGCTGGCCAAAGTGAGAGAAAGGAAGGCTCGTGATCTGGATCAAGTGAAGTGCATAAAAGACGAGGAAGGTAGAGTGTTGATGGATGAGGCTCAAATTAGGTGGAGATGGCAGTTATACTTTCATAAACTCTTGAATGATGGGGGAATAGGGATATTGTGTCGGGTGATATGAAGCACGCGGGGAGTCATCAGGACTTTGGGTACTGTCGGCGCATCAGTGTGGGGAAGGTCGAGGGAGCGATGCGTAAGATGAGCAGGGATAGAGCTACCAGGCCAGACGAGATCCCGATAGAATTCTGGAGGAGCGCGAGTAAGGCATGCCTGGAATGACTCTCTAGGTTGTTCAATATCATTTTTAGGACGGAGAGGATGTCTGAGGAATGGAGGTGAAGTACGATGATTCCATTGTACAAGAACAAGGGTGACATCCAAAATTATAATAACTATACGGGTATCAAGATACTAAGTTATATGATGAAAGTTTGGGAGAGAGCGGTGAAAGGGAGGGTGAGAAGGAGTGTGTCTATTTCTGAGAACCAGTTCGGTTTCATGACATGTGTACGACTACAGAAGCCATTCATCTGGTGAGGAGATTGGTAGAGCAGTATAGGACAATGAAGAAGGACTTACATATGGTGTTCATTGACTTAGAGAGAGCATATGACAAAGTTTCGAGAGAGGTTTTGTGGAGGTGTTTAGAGAGTAAAGGTGTGCATGTTGGCTACATTAGAGTGATTAAGGGCATGTATGACGGAGCTAAGACACTGGTCAGGATAGTGGGAGGAGACTCAGAACACTTCTCGATTGTAATGGAACTGCATCAGGGATCAACCCTTAGCCCATTTTTGTTTCCATTAGCGATCGATGCATTAACATAATACATTCAAGAAGAGGTACCGTGGTGTATATTTTTTGCGGATGATATAGTTCGGATTGACGAGACCCGAGGAAATGTTGACGACACACTAGAGGTTTGGAGGTAGACTCTTGAATCTAAAGGTTTCAAGCTGAGCAGGATCAAGACGGAGTATATAGAGTGCAAGTTTAGTAAAGTTACCCAGGAAGCAGACATGTGTGTAAGGCTTGATACACAGATCATCTCCAAGAGAGAGAGAGAG